TTTTTTTTTTTTTTAAAAAAAAAAAAAAAAAAGTAGTTTGATGTCAGAGAACTGTGACAATAGAGGTTTGAATGTGACCAGCAACACGACGCGGTTTAACCATAACAGCCATGACAAAACTCAAAATACTGTGTGTTATTAAAGAATTTAACAGCAAAGATCGATTTGTTTACTATGTTAATGTTTTATGGCAAGCAGAAAACAAAAGATGAAATGTGTTTCCATTAAAATTTAATTTTTTTCCCCTTCTAGTTCCTTTCCTTTTCCTTTGTTATTCATTGAGAAATCAGAAAGAAGGCAACAAGGCCTTATGCAAAGGCCCTTTGTGTACAGGCTTCTCTGGATGAGAAATGTCAGGCAGATTCCAAGTCCAAAGCAGTTTTCGTGGGTTTTTTTCATGAGAAACGGTAATGAACCTGCCTGTGTTTGGTATCAGAGTCCAAAGTCATCTACCTACCCCAGTGGTACAAAGAAACCAGCACAACTAACAACCTTGCTACAACCAGAGGCTTCAGTTGGCTCAAATGAGGAGGAGATAAATGTTTTTGCATAGAAATGTGGCATCCTACTCCAAAATGGTTCTTGACCGTGAACCTCACGTAACAGATTAGTGACTGGAGAGGAATAAGGGGAGCAGAGGAGAGTCCTGAAGGCCCTGACTTCAGCACTTGCATGTGCTCCAGCTTATTCAGACAAGCTATGGACACATCTGAAAACTCTGCGTGAATCGGGACCTGAAAGATTTTACAGCGTTTACTTTGGCCGGCATAGTAGCAACCTCCTTGATGCTGAGAATAGCGTCTTCCTATAGAAAAATCTAAAGAAAATGTACAACCTTTGTTGTACTCACCCCTCAGGGCAGATAACCAGCTATAGATAAAGCTATAGCCAAATTCCACATGAACGAAGTCCAAAATAACTTCATTAAAATGAACTGAGTTGCCCTGGGTTTATAGCAGCGTAAGTATGCACAGCATTTTACCCACGGATGCCAAAGAAAACACTGCACCTTCTTTCTAATTACATCATGGGAAACTCGTTAATAGAGCTGCAGGAAGCTTTTATAGCAACTGGTCATATTCCATTTGTTTCTGTGATGACATCTGGAAAGGAGATGAAACTCGTCAAAAGGTTTACAAATCTTTTAGCAAAGCTAAAGCATGTTGAGAGCAGGTCACTTCAAAGTTTCAAACGTTATTTCCACGGATTTCTTTCTTAGTTTAAGGTTGAAAACCCCCAGTGATACTGAACGTAACAAAGCAAGTCCTTCCCTTACACCAGCTTTCCCACGCGAATAGCTCGGTAGGCACCGCCGGCGTTCCACAGAAAACGCCTTCTATAAAGCCAGAGGTAATTTGCATTCATAGCAATTTTCATAACTGGGCAGAATGACTGCACGTTCCCCCCCCAGCCCTTCAGACCCTTTGTTGCAGTGACAGTTCCCACAGCGAAGGGGGTGCAGTAAGTGGTACAGCAAAGAACCCAACATTCTTCTCCCCGAGTGACGGCCACAAGATGTGGGATGTACACATCTGAAACTATGTCGAAGGGAAAAAAAAAACCACATCCAAGCTGGAAAGGCAGGGGAAGTTGTAAGCAACTTCAGATATTGTAAGAAACCCCCTGAACTTCACCCACAAACATTCTTCCCCTCGAGTCCCAAGTCCCCGTCTGCATCTCTCCACGTTCAGACTGGAGAACAAGCACACCCAAAGGCTTGCGAGTGTTTTCCTTTTGGTGTTCTACCCGCTATTAGGAAACTGTAAGGGATCATTCTCCGACAGGGGACACGCAGTTGCAAATTGAAAAATACAAATTGAAAATTTGCAACTCATCTTTTAAATGAAGAGCTAGGAATTTTTTTTTTTTTCCATGCACGTTCCTGCAGTACAGATACTTTTATATAAGACACTTCCACTGCTTTAAAAGATTTGTTTGGTGAAGAATAAATTAATACTTAATACATTCTTGTTGTTTGTAGTGTGTTCCTCAGGGGGCTGAGGCAGAGGGAATAATACTGCTGTAAATTCAAAATATCTAGTCGTGCTGGTTTTACTGAAAGCAAAATATTAATACGACCTGTTTGGAGGTGCTAGCACAATTCCGTTTTATAGGACGGTCCTTTTCATAGCTTGGTACTATGAAAGGCCAAAAAAATGGGAATAAGAAAGTTTACTTTGGCTCTGGGTCCTCTCATTCTAGCTGTAAACAGACCGTAAGATCAATGAGGAATCAGCTGAGTGACGTTTAAACTTGTGCACGGGTATTAAAAACAATTATTTGCTTCACAGGCGATCCCAAACAAATGGCACCGCACCAGACACGGGAAAGATTTGCATGGAAAGCCGGCTCTATGATTAGCCTCTGCCTTCATTTGCCCGGCAGTTTAAGGGAAAACCAGCATTTTAGCTCCCGCACAACTAAAAGGAATTCCCAAGGAGATTACAAGATTTTGATCTTATTGTTTAATTCCCGTGGCTGAGAATGAAAAGGAGCATTCCCTCGGTCTTGGGGTGAAGGGAAACCCAAAGGCATTCTGAAGACTATTCACACCACTCAACTTAAAAGACTAAAGGACAGGCTAAGTGAGCTGACAGCCTCCCCGGACTCTCTCTACAATAGGGAGAGCAAACTTGCTCTGGGGGAGGCGTGAGTTCGGCTCTGACAGGCCCTCTCCTCCTTCTCAACTGCAGAAAAACCCCAGGGAGACGCGCCAGAGAATTTATCTGCTGAAATTAAGCCCCAAAAATTGTGTCGTGTGAATGAACTCCCATTTCCACTCTACCATTTCCCTCAGCTGCTCTTGGCCACTAATTATATTTTCCTTTTTTTTTTTTTTTTTTAACTGCAAGCTTTATTATTTGATGTGTTGTGGAATAGATACTCTATTCTCTCAGTTAAATTGGCTTTGCTTTTCCTTTTTTCCTGCCACTCTGTTCTTGTCTCTTCCATCCAGTCTCC